AAATAGTTGTAATAGCTCAGCCGTTGAGGATTAAGGAGAAGGTTCTTCACTAAAAACAGTTTGACGCTCATTCAAACTGCCAACGTTGGCTGCGAGGCAGTCAAGAATAAGCATAAGAAGTAAGATAGGAAAACGATTGCTGTCATATAAATCAGGAAACATTGACCAGATAAAGTCGAGTGCAGCTGAGGAGCAAACTGAGATCTATGCAAGAGAGAGTTTGAGTGTGAGGGTCGAAATGAGTGAGAGAACTCGTATTTAAAACATGGAGGGGAAGAGAAGTGAGATGAGCCTCTAACTGATCACCACGAAGAGTCACAGTGAGACCCCCAGAGGAAATGATGAGTATTAAAATCTCCTAATAAGAGGGGAGGAGGAGGAGGAGGAGGTACGGAAGAAATCAGAGATGCCACATCTGGAATAGATAATGGCCGAAAGAAGGAGAAATATATAAAGAGCAGACTCTTTATCACCTGTCCAAGTAGATGTGGGCTGCAGAGTAATGCAGCAAAGTTTGGACAAGCACCCAAGAATGTGGTATATCTTGGTACACGAGAAGTGCACTTTCATTAAAACTCCCATCGGGAAAAAGGATCCAATGAATGTAACAAGAGACAGCCCAAAATGGGTCGGAAAACAGCGGAACGCAATTTTGATCCTTGCAAACAGACACAAGTGAGGGAAAACTGGAAGAGCAGCACCTGAAGCTAACTCCGATTATTCCTGAGGCCTCGAATATTCTACTGTAAGTTAGCCATGATCGGCTAAGAGAGCGTAACAGTAACATTTTGCAGGTCTTTACGGACCAGAAAGATCAGTAAAGTCAACATGCAGAGGTAATGGGAAACTAGTAAAGACTGAAGTATAGGGATGACGTGAAGAAAGGCGGTGTGAAGAAAGACGTGGAAGGTGAGAATTTGAAGTGCGTGTGTGTGTGGGGGGGGGGGGGAGGTCGGACCGGTGTCCATTATATTTGTCACCTTGATATACGCGGAGATGGCTTCAATAGTTTCAGATGAGAGAGAAGTCGGGGAGAGAAGCAGAGGGAGAAGTAGTAGTTTGGGTAAAAAGTGGAGAGACAATGAAAGACTCCAAAGAGGGACAAGCGAGGGAGTAACTGTACTTGGGGGTGGATGAACATCCACAACAGTATCAGATGCATCTAGACCCAGAGACAGGGAGAGAAGCACATTTGGGAATGTCGTGTGGTTTGGGTGTTGAAGGAGATTTGGACTTTACTTAAATGAAGATGTAGAAAAGAAAACCATACCACTGGTGGGGCTTGAACTCGCGGTCATTATGATTTCGTGAGTCATGAAGATGTAGACATTGGAGAAAAGAGGATATGTGGCGTCAATTTAGATTGGAGGAGGCGAGTAGACGTTGAAACATGTGAAGAGGAAGGTGAAGAAGTAGAGACAGGAGGAAATGATGAGGCTGGAATCTCCGAGTCCAGGTCCATAAAAAGGTTGACACAGAGTTGACTGTGAAAGTAAGGGGCACAGAGGCAATTGTGGAAACAGGCACCACTGAGTTCTGGGGCGTCTAGCGACTATGGAAAAACAAAGCCGTGGGAATCTACCTTGGAGACAGGGATGGGAAACTGCCATGTCGTAGAAGTGGCCCTCTTCTTCTTAAAGATAATGGCTCTCTCTTTCTCTTAAGAAAATCGAGCAACAGCGAGAATAGGCAGGGTGCGCCTCTTTGCGGTTAAGGCAAGAGGCGGATGGACTGCTATGGTCAGTTGCGCCACAGACAGTGACCTGCAATATTTTGCCCGGTGGCCGAAGTGCCAGCATTTTCTATATTGTTTTGGGGTAGGCATCACCTCCCGCAATTCTAGGTGTTGTCCCGCTACGTAAACAGATGGTGGCAATTCACGGCAGTCAAAATTAGCCTAGCTATATTGCAAAGATAGCGCCTCAGCCTGGGAAATTCTAGAGCTCCATTTGCTCCAGAATGTCTTTGTTACACGCGAGAAAGTCGTGTTGTACAATCGTATATGGAAGGCCAATATATCCACAACAAGAATTAAGGGAGACATGCTTGCGAATCGTCAAGAAGTGAAAGATTATGTGCCTGCTCTGCATTTTGTACTGTAACACGTGGGCCACCCTCAAGAACATGGAAGGAAATGTTCTGCCCAACATGGCGAAGGAGTGTTTTGCTGATGCTGTGGTAGAAAAGATAGTAAGAGAAGTTGGTTGGAGCGTAAAGAATTTTGTTCAAGGACTTTGAAACATAGAGCATAAACGGAGGAATTGTTTAGTTGGCTGTTTCTTAGAAGCATAAGAGAAATTTGAGGTAGGGTCATCGGTGATAGGTCGATGACTGTGCCTGCCTCCCCCCCCTTGAAAACGTAAACTTTCTATTAACTGAGGCAACATAGAACCTAAAACGTCTTTAGAACCTAAAGACAGGTCATTCTGCGGCGGTACAGGTATGATTCATGTCTAGTTGCAAGAGTTAACTATTAAAGTGACTAAAACCAAACGAATTTTTTTTAAATGACACACTGAGTTAATGTAAAAATATAGAAAGGGGAAGCACTTCAGCAAGCCTACTGGCCCATGCTAGGCAAGGCCACCTCATACCCACCCACACCCCCCTCATGTAATCTAACCTATTTTCAAAGTTACCCAAGATTCTCGCTTCAATGACGCTACTCGGAAGTTTGTTCCACTCATCAACAACTATCCACACCAGTTCTGTCCTGTATCCTCTCTAAATCCAAATTTTTGCAGCTATGACCCCATTACTGTGAGTTGGCCAGTGGGAGCTAGGACTATGACGCCATGAAATCTATCATTTCTGAAGTTAATAAATAAATTAGTTACAAAAATAACATTAAATATATTTAATCTCGTCTGATGAGTTAATTACCGTCGAGCGTCGCAAGTACATTAACATCTCCATTCAAGGCAGGTGAAATTACAGATCTAGAGAATGTACAGAGAACCTTTACTGCACATATCAGTTCCATCAAACACCTTAACTACTGGGAACGCCTGGAAGTGCTTGACTTGTACTCACTGGAACCCAGGCGAGAGAGATACATCATAAGCTACACCTGGAAAATCCTAGAGGGACTGGTCCCTAATCTGCACACAGAAATCACTCCCTACGAAAGCAAAAGACTTGGCAGGGGATACAATATACCCCCAGTGAAAAGTAGGGGCGCTATTAGTACACTAAGAGACAACACAATAAGTATCAGGAGCCCAAGACTGCTTAACTGCCTCCCAGCATACATAACATTAGGGACCTCTTTTCATAAGACACCTGCTGTCCCTGTCCCTGTTCATCCATCAGTTCAAAATGGGTACATGGGAGTTAGTCGACTGGTGTGGGTTGCATCCTGGGACAAAACTGACCTAATTTGCCCGAAATGCTCAGCATAACAAGCGACTTTCTATATAGTAAATGTCATTGATGTCACTGATGTCATTGTATGTCATTGTATGTCATTGTATGTCATTGATGAGTCCCTGACCGCCGGGCTGTGCTTCGTACGTTGGACTACATGCGGCCAGCAGTAACAGCCTCGTTGATCAGGCCCTGATCCACCGGGAGGCCAGGTCATGGACTGGGCCGTGGAGGCGATGATTCCCGGAACACCCTCCAGGTAGGTAAGTCAGTTTTAAAGCGTATATACGCACCTAATTGTATTCGCCTAATTGTAGTTGCAAGGGTCGTGTAAAAGCTCCTGGCCCTGCCTCTCCGCTGGCCGCTGCTGGTTTCACTCACTCTTTCAAGCTATGTGAGGATTCTGTTTTCACCACTTCGCTGTCTGGGGTCGTTCCACTTTCTGACCACTCTAAGGCTAAAGAAGTATTTCCTAACATCCCTATAGCTCATCTGTGTTTTTTATTTTCAGCTGTGAAGGTCAGAACTGCATAGAATAATATAAACGAAGATTTACCAACGATAAAACTACTGTATCGTTTTCTTGGTTTCATAATTCTGTTAACTAGACCTTCAAAGTTTTCTGTGCATTTGAAGTGATTAATTCGAGGTAGATAAAAACCAAGCTTTAGGACCAAGCACTTGTCCTCGTCGAACTGTGACCGGCTGCCACAGTTCCGAAAATAACGTTAATCTGTCATATTACAAATTGTATTTAGTACCGAGAAGTGGATGAGCAAGACACGTGTATCACACCTAAGTATTTTCTTTGATTTACGACAATGAAGCAACCTGACCAACCACAGCCTGGTTGGTCAGGTACTGACTTTAGGTGCCTGTTCAGTGCCTTCTTGAAGACAGCCAGAGGTCTATTGGTAATTCCCCTTGTGTATGCTGGGAGGCAGTTGAACAGTTTTGGGCTCCAGGCACTTATTGTTCTGTGTACTCGTGGCCCCCCTGCTTTTCGTTGTGTTGCACTTGTATCTGATCAACACAAATCATTCCCAAACTCCTTCGTGTTACCAGACTCTGTACGTCATGCCTAGTTTTTTTCACTTGTCAGTTAAAAGCTGTTGTTGCTGTGGAATCCTTGGTCAGAGTCGTTCATTAAAACGGAACATCAGCGGGACGACCGTCACTGACTCGTGATACACAACGTTCTTATTTTTCACCTCTAATGTAAAACTCGCTGTTGTCTATGGGCCAGCCACGCCTAGGTCCAGGGAATTATTATTATTATTATTATTATTATTATTATTATTATTATTATTATTATTATTATTATTATTATTATTATTATTATTATTATTATTACTATTATCGCAATCATAACTACGCGCTAAACCCATAAGGGTCATACAGCTAGGTCCAGGGAAGCGTCTCGGCTTTACATCCATGTACCAGCACCATTTGTAATCAGTCATATATTTTTTCTTCCCCCCCCCCCTTTTTTTTTGGAGTTTCTGCATTTCTTGGAATATCCCACCTCTTGCTTTCGCTTGATATAAAAGCCGCATATCTGACAAGAGTGAAGAAAAGTCTTGCGTTGTTGGAAGAAACTGTTACTGGGGCAACATTTTGCTGTGTGTGAAGCTTTATAAAGTCATGAATTGATAAAGCTCTACAGAGAGCGAGACGCTGCCCCATATAAGAGCTTCTACAACGCGAATCTTGCCTTCACACTCTACCTTCACGCTGTCTGCCTCGCTCAGTCTTCCCAACATGCGAACATGTAAACACCAAGATCTTATATTCTCACTGTTTTGCACTAGAGAAGAGATTTATATTCTCTTACGGAGATTCAGAAAATAGCGTGAAACGTTTGATAAAAGTAGGAGTAGGTGTAGTGAGGGAGAAAGAAAGGAAGGAAGGGAAGGAAAGGGAGAGAGGGTAAACACCTGGTGTAGCATTCTGCTGGTAATGTGCTTCGGTGGGAATAAGAGAGGGAGAAGTTGAAGAAGATTTAGCGAATTGTATGTTGGGATTAAGGGAGCCAGAGGGGAAGAATCTCTGTGTGATGTTAGTGTCTGGTTGTGTGACGTTACTGTCTTGTTGTGTGACGTTAGTGTCTGGTTGTGTGACGTTAGTGTCTGGTTGTGTGACGTTAGTGTCTGATTGAGTGACGTTAGTGTCTGGTTGTGTGATGTTAGTGTCTTGTTGTGTGACGTTAGTGTCTGGTTGTGTGACGTTAGTGTCTGGTTGTGTGACGTTAGTGTCTTGTTGTGTGACGTTTAGTGTCTTGTTGTGTGACGTTAGTGTCCGGTTGTGTGACGTTAGTGTCTGGTTGTGTGACGTTAGTGTCTGGTTGTGTGACGTTAGTGTCTTGTTGTGTGACGTTAGTGTCTGGTTGTGTGACGTTAGTGTCTGGTTGTGTGATGTTAGTGTCTGGTTGTGTGACGTTAGTGTCTTGTTGTGTGACGTTAGTGTCTGGTTGTGTGACGTTAGTGTCTGGTTGTGTGATGTTAGTGTCTGGTTGTGTGATGTTAGTGTCTGGTTGTGTGACGTTAGTGTCTTGTTGTGTGACGTTAGTGTCTGGTTGTGTGACGTTAGTGTCTGGTTGTGTGATGTTAGTGTCTGGTTGTGTGACGTTAGTGTCTTGTTGTGTGACGTTAGTGTCTGGTTCTGTGACGTTAGTGTCTGGTTGTGTGATGTTAGTGTCTGGTTGTGTGATGTTAGTGTCTGGTTGTGTGATGTTAGTGTCTGGTTGTGTGATGTTAGTGTCTGGTTGTGTGATGTTAGTGTCTGGTTGTGTGATGTTAGTGTCTGGTTGTGTGATGTTAGTATCTTGTTGTGTGATGTTAGTGTCTGGTTGTGTGATGTTAGTATCTTGTTGTGTGATGTTAGTGTCTGGTTGTGTGATGTTAGTGTCTGGTTGTGTGATGTTAGTGTCTGGTTGTGTGATGTTAGTATCTTGTTGTGTGATGTTAGTGTCTGGTTGTGTGATGTTAGTGTCTGGTTGTGTGATGTTAGTGTCTGGTTGTGTGATGTTAGTATCTGGTTGTGTGATGTTAGTGTCTGGTTGTGTGATGTTAGTGTCTGGTTGTGTGATTGTTAGTGTCTGGTTGTGTGATGTTAGTGTCTGGTTGTGTGATGTTAGTGTCTGGTTGTGTGATGTTAGTGTCTGGTTGTGTGATGTTAGTGTCTGGTTGTGTGATGTTAGTATCTGGTTGTGTGATGTTAGTGTCTGGTTGTGTGATGTTAGTGTCTGGTTGTGTGATGTTAGTGTTGTTGTGCGATGTTAGTGTCTGGTTGTGCGATGTTAGTGTCTGGTTGTGTGATGTTAGTATCTTGTTGTGTGATGTTAGTGTCTGGTTGTGTGATGTTAGTGTCTGGTTGTGTGATGTTAGTGTCTGGTTGTGTGATGTTAGTGTCTGGTTGTGTGATGTTAGTGTCTGGTTGTGTGATGTTAGTGTCTTGTTGTGTGATGTTAGTGTCTGGTTGTGTGATGTTAGTGTCCTGTTGTGTGATGTTAGTGTCTGGTTGTGTGATGTTAGTGTCTGGTTGTGTGATGTTACTGTCTGGTTGTGTGATGTTAGTGTCTGGTTGTGTGATGTTAGTGTCTGGTTGTGTGATGTTAGTGTCTGGTTGTGTGATGTTAGTATCTGGTTGTGTGATGTTAGTGTCTGGTTGTGTGATGTTAGTGTCTGGTTGTGTGATGTTAGTGTCTGGTTGTGTGATGTTAGTATCTGGTTGTGTGATGTTAGTGTCTGGTTGTGTGATGTTAGTGTCTGGTTGTGTGATGTTAGTGTCTGGTTGTGCGATGTTAGTGTCTGGTTGTGCGATGTTAGTGTCTGGTTGTGTGATGTTAGTATCTTGTTGTGTGATGTTAGTGTCTGGTTGTGTGATGTTAGTGTCTGGTTGTGTGATGTTAGTGTCTGGTTGTGTGATGTTAGTGTCTGGTTGTGTGATGTTAGTGTCTGGTTGTGTGATGTTAGTGTCTTGTTGTGTGATGTTAGTGTCTGGTTGTGTGATGTTAGTGTCTGGTTGTGTGATGTTAGTGTCTGGTTGTGTGATGTTAGTGTCTGGTTGTGTGTTTGTTAGTGTCTGGTTGTGTGATGTTAGTGTCTGGTGTGGGGATGTTAGTGTCTGGTTGTGTGACGTTAGTGTCTGGTTGTGTGACGTTAGTGTCTGGTTGTGTGATGTTTAGTGTCTTGTTGTGTGATGTTAGTGTCTGGTTGTGTGATGTTAGTGTCGGGTTGTGTGATGTTAGTGTCTTGTTGTGTGATGTTAGTGTCTGGTTGTGTGATGTTAGTGTCTGGTTGTGTGATGTTAGTGTCTGGTTGTGTGATGTTAGTGTCTTGTTGTGTGATGTTAGTGTCTGGTTGTGTGATGTTAGTGTCTGGTTGTGTGATGTTAGTGTCTGGTTGTGTGATGTTTAGTGTCTTGTTGTGTGATGTTAGTGTCTGGTTGTGTGATGTTAGTATCTGGTTGTGTGATGTTAGTGTCTGGTTGTGTGATGTTAGTGTCTGGTCGTGTGATGTTTATGTCTGGTTGTGTGATGTTAGTGTCTGGTTGTGTGATGTTAGTGTCTTGTTGTGTGATGTTAGTGTCTGTTGTGTGATGTTAGTGTCTGGTTGTGTGATGTTAATGTCTGGTTGTGTGATGTTAGTGTCTGGTCGTGTGATGTCAGATCGTCAATGAATGAAGTGTTAATATGATTTTTGTGTGTATGATGCGGTATTGGTGGCGGGAATGGTAGAGGAGGCGGCAGCAGGCGTCCGTGATAATAATGGTGATGGTGGAGATGATGATGGTGATGGAGCGGTGAATCGCATGGTACCCGTCCGTTGTCCATCACGCCGCGCGCTATTATTAGAGAACTCATAATGGAAAACACATGTGCCGAGGGTAAAATACAGACCCTCTGTATAAAAATGGTTAATGGCAGGGCCTTTTGTAAATAAAAACCGCCCGTGCTGATTAAGGGTTTTTAAGGTTCCCTTGTGCCAGTGGATTAGAATTTCAGCTGCGGGGGTTAACTTCCAGTGTGTGTGTCAGTGTGTGTGTGTGTGTGTGTGTGTGTGTGTGTGTGTGTGTGTGTGTGTGTGTGTGTGTGTGTGTGTGTGTGTGTGTGTGTGTTTGTGTGTGTGTGTGTGTTGTGTGTGTGTGTGTGTGTGTGTGTGTGTCTGTCTTCACCGAGTTGTTCTTGTGGGGATGGGGGTGAGGGGGGATCAAGTCTCAGCTCCTAACCCCGCCTCTCTGCTAGCCGCTATTTGTTTCACTCTCTCTCCTTTCTGCGTGAGACCTATCGTATCTATTCTTACAGCCATATATGAATTCTGTCTGTACCACTTCGCTATCTAGGGCGTTCTACTTCCTGAGCTCTCAAGGACTTCTATACTCAAGTACATTAGGAAATAATGATATCTACCTTACCATGACCGAAGGCAACTTTATTCTGAGTCTGCATTCTCTCTGCTAGACTAATGACAGACAGCACACTTGCCAGCCTCCACATAATGTTCGTGCTCCTCAAGATTGCACATCTCTTGTGGACAGAGGACTGGTGACTGACAGTGCACATTCTCTGGTGATCCCTGGTAGAGACATCTTGCTACTTGTCAAGGACAGTGATTTTTCAGAGAATGACCTGGATAGTGACTCAGACGACCCCTTGATGAATATGATCGGATCTGAGGGATTGCCGTGGTGTGTTCACATAGTATGATAGAACAGTTGTTGAACATCCACGTTGACAACGTCAGCAGCTGTTGGTAAGACCTCGTTCACACCAAGGTGCTTGTTCAACACTGACCTGTTGCCTTGCCATAGACAAACATGCTCATTAATGAGCAATGGAGGCACTTTACACAGCTCACAGATGAACAGAGGCCCAAGCTTCATCTACCGGCGCTGACTAATCACCGAGATTCTTAGAAAAAATGATCTAAAGGTCAATGGGAGTCTCGACCTTGTTGCCCATGGCATGTTTCTTGACAAGTCCATCTTCTTGATGGTACGACTGTCGAAGTAACAGAAACCACCAGGAAGACCAGTGATGAACTTGCTTTCCATTTTTTCTCTAATCACAGAGGAAACAACCACATTCACTCCAGAAGAGGTAATCTGCTCTGTGACGGGATTGTACAGATGAGGACGATGATCCTCCAGTGGGTGAGGATAGTTTTCCAATCCACAGCGCTGAAACTCAGATCATCTGCGTCTAAGACACGCAGACGCTTCAGCTCTTCTTTGTGCTTTTTTACGCAGCCTGACCCGGTGGATCAGTAGAGTAGATGTAGTCCATGCAGGCTGACACATACACAGTGATGGAAAACAGTCAGACCACTCAGAAACAAGATCAGCAGAGAGTTCAGTTGTCACTCTTGATGACAGTCTACTTGCTGAACTGGTCATTGGAGATGGCATCCCAAAATATTATTCACGGTGACAACAGACAAAGGCCAGATACAAAGTCGGCTTTGATCTCAACTAGGAGTGGACGCACCTCAGTCCTTTTAATTTTGGCCACTGATACTTCATCACCATCAATTGAACCATCCTTCCTTTTCTTGAAATTTTTTCGACATGTTCCTTCGAGGTGTATAAAAAATGAGTTTTTATGAAGGTCAACAGATGCGTGTTGTGCATGGGAGTCAAGAACAGCCCACACTCTGTTAAGACTCTCAGAGACATGTCCCTGTTTTATACACTCAGTCACTTTCCTAACTGCTGGTGGAGGGAATGGTTGTAGTGGTGCAGACATGCAGCAGGCTGACAGAAGTCACTAGTGGTGCAGACATGCAGCAGGTTGACAGAAGTCACTAG